ATTTTTCATTTCCAACTTTTCGATTTCCCGATTTTTCGACGTCTCGAATTTTCCATTTATCAATTTTTCGATGTTTTCATTTCGCGGTTTTTCAGTTTTACGACTTTTCGGCTTTTCAAGTTTTAGATTTTTGGATTTTTCCTGATTTCAGTTTGGAATTTTTTAATTTCTCGATGTTTCAATTTTTTGATTTTTCAATTTTCCAATTTTCCAATTTGTTAATTTTTCGATTTCTCGATTTTTCGGTTTTTTGATTTTCCAATTTTTAGATTTCTTAATTTTTTGATGTTTTAGTTTTGGGATTTTTTAGTTTTTAGATTCTTCAATTTTTCTGGATTTTTCACTTTTTCGATTTTAGGATTTTCTGCTTTTTCGACCTTTTTGATATTTCAATTTCTGGATTTTTCAATTTTTCATGTCACCAATTTTTCTATATTTTAATTTTACAATTTTTTAAATTTTAAATATTTTGATTTTTCGTTGCTTTAATATTTCTGTCTTAATTGGTATAATTTTTAAATGTTAGATTTTTCAGTTTTTTTATATTTCCATTTCGCTATCTTTCGATTTTTCGACTTCGAAGTTTTTAATTTTTCGGTTTTTTAATTTTTCGATTTTTCAGTTTTTCAATTTTTCAATTTTTCTGTCTATTTTTCAAAATTTTTTAAATTTTAAATTTTTCATTTTTTCTTTTTTGTTTTTAATTTTCAATTTTTCATTTTTTAACTTTCGGATTTTTCCATTTTGGGTTATTTTTATTTTTCGATGTTTTTCGACTTCTCGACTTTTCAATTTCCTGATTTCTCAAGTTTTTTCAATTTTTCGTTTTTCGGCTTTTCGATTTTTCACTTTTCCAGTTTCCCAATTTCTCAATTTTTCATCATTTCAGTTTAAGAATTGTTCAATTTATTGATTTTTTGTAATTTTTTATTTTCAATTTTTCATTTCCAACTTTTCGATTTCCCGATTTTTCGACGTCTCGAATTTTCCATTTATCAATTTTTCGATGTTTTGATTTCGCGGTTTTTCAGTTTTTCGACTTTTCGGCTTTTCAAGTTTTAGATTTTTGGGTTTTTCCTGATTTCAGTTTGGAATTTTTTAATTTCTCGATGTTTCAATTTTTTGATTTTTCAATTTTCCAATTTTCCAATTTGGTAATTTTTCGATTTCTCAATTTTTCGGTTTTTTGATTTTCCAATTTTTAGATTTCTTAATTTTTTGATGTTTTAGTTTTGGGATTTCTCAGTTTTTAGATTCTTCAATTTTTCTGGGTATTTTTCACTTTTTCGATTTTAGGATTTTCTGCTTTTTCGACCTTTTTGATATTTCAATTTCTGTTTTTTTCAATTTTTCATGTCACCAATTTTTCTATATTTTAATTTTACAATTTTTTAAATTTTAAATTTTTGATTTTTCAGTTCTTTAGTATTTCCGTCTTAATTTTTCTAATTTTTAAATGTTACATTTTTCAGTTTTTTTATATTTCCATTTCGCTATCTTTCGATTTTTCGACTTAGGAGTTTTTAATTTTTCGATTTTTCAGTTTTTCAATTTTTCAGTTTCTGTCTATTTATCAATGTTTTTTATATTTTCAATTTTTCATTTTTTAACTTTCGGATTTTTCCATTTTGGGTTATTTTTATTTTTCGATGTTTTTCGACTTCTCGACTTTTCAATTTCCCGATTTCTGGAGTTTTTTCAATTTTTCGTTTTTCGGCTTTTCGATTTTTCACTTTTCCAGTTTCCCAATTTCTCAATTTTTCATCATTTCAGTTTAAGAATTGTTCAAATCATCGATTTTTTAATTTTTTGTAATTTTTTATTTTCAATTTTTCATTTTCAACTTTTCGCTTTCCCAATTTTTCGACATCTCGAATTTTCCATTTATCAATTTTTCGATGTTTTGATTTCGCGGTTTTTCAGTTTTTCGACTTTTCAAGTTTTAGATTTTTGGATTTTTCCTGACTTCAGTTTGGAATTTTTTAATTTCTCGATGTTTCAATTTTTTGATTTTTCAATTTTCCAATTTTTCAATTTTTAGTTTTCTCAATATTTTGATGTTTTTAATTTTTTTGATGTCTCAATTTCCCAATTTTTCAATGTTTCAGTCTCAAATTTTTCTATATTTTAGTTTTTCAATTTTTTAAATTTAGATTTTTTGATTTTTCAGTTCTTTAATATTTCTGTCTTAATTTTTCTAATTTTTAATTTTTCGGTTTTTCACTTTTTCGAGTTTTAAAAATTTTTGATTCTTCAGTTCAGTTTTTTCTCTATTTATAGATTTTTTTTAATTTTAAATTTTCAGTTTTTCAATTTTTAACTTTTGGGTTTTTCGATTTTCGGGTATTTCTGTTTCTCGATATTTTTCGACTTCTCTACTTTTCCATTTCTCGATTTCTCGACGTTTAAGTTTTTCAAATTTTAGATGTTTCGTTTTTTTGATTAGTCGCTTTCGAATTTTCGATTTTCGGCTTCAAAAAATATAAAAATCTAAAATTTAAAAACTGAAAAACGAAAAAATCGAAACTCCAAAATTGAAAAATGGAAACATCGAAACACTGGAAAATCGAAAAACCGAAAATCCGAAAAGTAAAACATCGAAAAATCAAAAGATCGAGAAATTAAACAATCAAACCCTGAAAAATCGAAAACTTGAAGAATTGAAGAACTGGAAAATCTAAACAGTCGAAAATAAGAAATGGGAAAATCAGAACATCGATTAATTGAAAAATCGAAAAATTGAGAATTTAGAAAAGTCAAAAATTGAAAAATCAAAAAACCGAAATATTTAAAAATCGTGATATTGAAGAGGAGAAAAATTGAAAAAACGTAAAACTAAAACATCGGAAAACTGAGAATGAAATGAAAATTCGAAAAACTAAAAGTCAAATTTGAAAAATTAAAAAACCGAAAATTTAAAAATCGTGATATTGAAAGGAAAATAATTGAAAAAACGTAAAATTGAAACATTGGAAAATTCAGAAATCGAAAAACTGAAAATCGTGAAATTGAATAGGTAATAAACTGAAAAATCCCAAAACTGAAATTTCGAAGAATTGAAAAACTGAAATATTCAAAAACTGAGAAAGTAAAAAACTGAAAAATTGGAAAATCGAAAAATCAAAAAAGTGAAGTCGGGAAATCGAAACATTCAAAAATGAAAAATTGAAAAATCGAAAACCTGAAAAAACGAAAAATTGAAGAATTGAAAAATTGAAAAATCGAAACAGTCGAAAGTCGAGAAATGAGAAAATAAAAACATCGAATAATTGAAAAATCGGAAAATTAAAAGTTTATAAAAGTCAGAAATTGAAGAAAATATTTAAAAGTCGTAAAATTGAAGAGGAGAAAAATTGAAAAAACGTAAAACTAAAACATCGGAAAACTGAGAATGAAATGAAAATTCGAAAAACTAAAAGTCAAATTTGAAAAATAAAAAAATCGAAATATTTAAGAATCGTGATATTGAAGAGGAAAATAATTGAAAAAACGTAAAATTGAGACATTGGAAAATTGAGAAATCGAAAAACTAAAAATCGTGAAATTGAATAGGTAATAAACTGAAAATCCCAAAACTGAAATTTCAAAGAATTGAAAAACTGAAATATTCAAAACCTGAGAAAGTAAAAAACTGAAAAATTGGGAAATCGGAAAATCAAAAAAGTGAAGTCGGGAAATCGAAAAAATATTTAAAAATCGTAAAATTGAAGAGGAGAAAAATTAAAAAAACGTTAAACTGAAACATCGGAAAACTGAAAAATCGAGAAATTGAAAAATTGAGGAATTATGAAAACCAAAACTAAAATTTCGAAAAATTGAGAATTCGAAAGTTAAAAAAGCTACAAATCGGAAAATCCCATTCCAGTGATTTCTCTTAATATTGTTGTCATTTACCAAAATCAATCGTATTTTAACAATTTTCGAAATTTCAGTTTTTGTTTTTCCAATTTTTCGAATTTTTAATTTCCAGATTTTTACTTCCCGGAAGCTAAGAAGTGTTTTAATCGAGTTCATCTGACGGCTGGCTACTTTCATGTTTTGTGGACGTTTAATTCAACAGTTTTGGGACCTCGACTGCCTGTGATAGTGTTAGGAGTTAGAAGAGCCCCACTTGTCAGCCCTTTATTTTCCGACTCATATAAAAGAGCCGGATTTAATAAAAGGGAAGAAGCACGCAAAAAAAGACTTTTTAGTTTTTTAAAATAACATTCTCCTGTACTTGTGGTTTATGAACCCGCCTTGACAAAAAATCTAAAGCAAATAGAATTCATGTTTCGCCAAATATTTCTCTCTCCGTTATTAATTCACTCAATTAAATTTAAACATTGCAAAGGTAACTACTAAAAGCGTCAACAACAGACGCGATGTTAGTTTATTTTCGCAATTTTAACTCAGACCGACGTACGTTTTGAATAAATTGAAATAACATTCTTCGGTCTGGAGACACTTAATTACTTCCATTGTACCCAAGTTTTATTTTTCCCTTGTAATTTTCTTCAGCGTCACTGTACCAGGCCAAGACAATATAAATTAGTTTCTGGGCATCGCAGTTCTTAATTAAAACAAACATCGATTAAATATAGTTAATTTATCGCGGCGTGTTGAGTAAAAAAGCAACTGTTGGTGTCCGACCGGTTTAATTCGCGTCCTGGGATAAATAAAGAAACGGTTTCACTTAAATGAACAAACCCGCTTTAGATTAAAAAAGGAATTTGCTTGATAAGTTCCCCAGTTCGGGGATAATTTGAGAATTTGCATTTGAAGAATTGGTTTGACCCCGAAAGAGACGCTTTGATGGATCATTAAGCTCTTTGCAGCGGAGAACTATATCAGCTTTAAATTTACAACGTTTCATTAGGTTCCGTGTTTTTTTGCACATTACAAGCGACGATAAATCACTTTCGTCTGGCGGATGGCAGAGTCGATATTTCACACTTTTTGACTCCGATCATATTCTAATGTTCTGGGTGTAATTTATGAACAGTAACTTTTTCGCTTACCGATGACTGTGGCCAAGATGATGAAACCCAGCAAGACGGCGATGCCCACCATGGTCACGATTTTGATCGTCTCGTCGTGCGGGTGATAACTGAAAGTCCTGTTCACACTAAAGTTCGAACTAAAATTGCTGCTCATCAAACTATAGTTCGGATAAAAGTAGAAATCGTCGTATTTCTTAAAGTATAAACTCGAGTTTTCGTTGAAAACTATCGGGTACCAGACGTCGTTACTTTCTTCGGTTGAGGACGAGGCGATGGTGATGATGTGGTGAAAAATGGTGGACTTTAATGAAAAATTTTCGGGAGGGGTTGTAATAACTGAGGGCTGTTGTTCTTTTCCAGACATCGCAGCGAGAGGCCGCCACAAATGATGGGCTCTAGCGTAATCCATTTTCTCCCACTAGAATTCAATTAACACTTCACATTGTAGTTTATTCAGTTTGGGCTCTGTTGTTGCTTCCGGCATCTGGAATTAAACGAAATCTATTAAGGAGGAATTTTACTTAATTTGAGTGTCAACTATTACTACTTTAAATTTGGTGGATGCGCCGGGTTTAATTTGTTCGCTATATAAATACGAGGTTAAGTGAGCCGTCGAATTTTACGCCTCTGTCGGTTAATCTCGGGTCTGTCTTAAAGTATTTCCTTGTTTTGCTGTTTCTGATTATGCTTTGATGAATGAGGCGGCTAAAATCTGCATATTAATCACGGTGGAGCATTTGTAGCGCGTCTCCATTTTTAGGTCAAGAAATATCGCAAAACCGGAGTTGAATTTTTGTCCGTAAACAAAAACCATGAAAAGATGCGATGATTATTAAACTTCTATTCTCCGCTCACAAAGAGCGGCGAAGAATTTTCATATAAATGAGATCGCAGACAACTAAAGCGAGATATACAGCTGCCGATTAAAAACTGCGAAATTATTACTATTGCAAAGGTTAAAGTTGACTATGCATGTATTTCGCGTTTGGTGGAAAGTTTGGATTGTTTCAAACAATTTCACGCTTTGAAATTCCAGCATCTGCTAGCTGTGATACGCAGGAAGTGGCAAAGAGGCTACACCCTTCATTTTTACCGATTTCGAGATAAACAAACAAAGGGAACCATTTTAAATCGTCAAAGGGATAAGATGGAGATAAGCTACAAATAGAGCATAAAAGAGATAGAAAGACGAATTTAGTTGCTAAAGCCGACCAAAGATTATGATAATGTGTTCGTTGTGAACGTTTTGAAAACATTGAACGTCACGGATAACGCTTAGGTGGAAATCGTGCCAGACCACACCGAAGTAGATAAGTCGAATTATAGACCTGGGAAATCGACTATTGCTCATGCGACGACACGGCGTTGGATATTTAAAAGGGGAAGTTCACCCTCATTCGAAAACTATGTGGCCAGAATGTCATCAGCTTCGACGAAGATAATCATAATAATAATATTTAAAATATTATCTGCAAACCAAATAAAAAATTCAGGTAGAAAAATAAAAATATTGTTAGTTATACAGTTAGTTTTTAAAATAGGAATGAGGCTAAAATTATCGCTAGAGACTAGGGTAGATTGGGCCCAATTAAAGCAGATTTTTGTAAAATTTTAGACTCATTTTTCACGTTTATTTGACTAGATATCGTGACGGCGATTTCGGATTTTTAATTAGCTGAGAATTATCTAGAATTTGACACCAATTTTCAGTCCATTGAACCCATTTTAACCAGTTTTTTGGAAAAATTTTGGAAATTTTAAACTCATTTTTCATGTAGGTGTATTTACGATTTTTCACTTTTCGAATTTTTCAATTTTTGGACTTTGGATATTTCGATTTATCGACTTCCCGATTTCTCGGTTTTCCGGTTTTTCAGTTTTTGAATTTTTCAATTTTTCAACTTTTCAATTTTTCGGTTTTTAAATTTTCAATTTTTCAATTTCTCGATTTCTCGATTTACCGAGACTTCGGTAATTTAATATTGCGATTATTTAGTTTATCAATTTTTTCATTTATAATTTTTGGATTTTTGGATATTTCAACTTTTTGATTTACCGACTTTTACACTTTTCGACTTTTAGATTTCATGATTTTTTTATTGTCTCTTTCCCTTTTCTCAATTTCTTAATTTTTCAGTTTTTTAATTCTTCAATTTTCTGGAATTGTTAGTTTTTTAATTTTTCAATTTTTGATGTTTCTAGATTTTCGATTTGTCTCGATTTTTCTCGATTTTTCGATTTCCCAAATTTTCGATTTTTCGATGTTTCGAGGTCTTGATTACTCAATTTCCCAATTCGTTCAGTTTTGGGATTTTTCAGTTTTTGTATTTTTCAATTATTCGACTTTTCTATTTATCGTTTTATCAAGTTTTTTATTTTGGTTTTGGAATTTTTCAATATTTCGATTCTTCAATTTTTCTACAGTATACAACTTTTGGATTTTACGATTTTTCGATTTCTCAATTTCTCGATTTGTTAATTTTTCAGTTTTTTCGTTTCCAATTTTTCATTTTTGTCAATTTTTCGAAATTTCGACTTTTCACTTTTTCAATTTTTCGATTCCTGGACTTTTCGATTTTTCGATTTATCGACTTTCCTTTTTTATCAGTTTTCCAGTTTTTCAGTTTCTGAATTCTTCAATTTTTCAGCTTTTCAATTTTTCGGTTTATAAATTTTCAATTTTTCAATGTCCCGATTTCATAATGTATTGAGGTAATTTAATGTTTCGATTATTCAGTTTACCAATTTTTTGTTTTTTGTTTGTTAATTTTTCAAATTTTTTTCGTTTCTAATTTTTGGATTTTTCAATATTTCGACGTTTCAACTTTTCGATTTACCGATTTTTACACTTTTCGACCTTTAGATTTTATGGTTTTTCGATTTTCTCTTTTCTCAATTTCCTAATTTACGATATATCAGATTTACGATTATTCAGTTTCTGATTTTTCAGTTTTTCGATTCTTCAATTTTTTGTTTTTTGAAATGTTAGATTTTTAAATGTTTTAATTTTTTGACGTTTCTAGATTTTCGATTCACGACGGCGATTTCGGATTCCTAATTAGGACAAGATTATCCACAATTTGACACCAATTTCGAGTCGATTGAAGCCATTTTTGGCAGTTTTTTGGAAAAATTTTGAAAATTTTTGACTCACTGTTCCCATTTATTTGAATAGATATCGTGAGGATGATTTCGGCTTGTTCATTAGGAGTAGATTATCTACAATTTGCCACCAATTTTCAGTGGATTGAACATATTTTAAGCAATTTTTTACAAACATGTTGAAAATTTTAGACTCATTTTTCACGTTTATTTGAATAGATATCATGGTGACCATTTCGGATTCCCAATTAGGAAAAGATTATCCACAATTTGACACCAATTTTGAGTCGATTGAACCCATTTTTAGCAGTTTTATTGGAAAAATTTTGAACATTTTTGACTCACTGTTCACGTTTATTTGAATAGATATCGTGATGATGATTTCAGATTCTTAATTAGGAGTAGATTATCTACAATTTGACACTAATTTTCAGTCGATTGATTCTATTTTAAGCAGTTTTTTTGGAAAATTTTGGAAAATTTTAGATTCATTTATTATGCTTATTTGAACAGATATCGTGACGGCGATTTCGAATTCTTAATTATCGAAAGATTATTTCAATTTGACACGAATTTTGAGCCGATTGGGCCCAATGTAAACAGATTTTTGTAAAAATTTTGAAAATTTTTGACTCGTTTTTCACTTTTTTTGATTAGATATCCTGACGACGATTTCGGATTTTTAATTAGCAAAGAATTATCTAGAATTTGACAGTAAGCATTTTTCGGAAAAATATTGGAAATTTTAAACTCATTTTTCACGTATATTTACGACCTTTTACTTTTTTAGTTTTCCAGTTTTTCAGTTTTTAAATTTTCGATTTTTCGATTTCTCGATTTCTCGATTTACCGAGACTACGGTAATTTAATATTTAGTTTATCAATTTTTTGATTTGTTAATGTTTAAAAATTTTTTCATCTCTAATTTTTGTATTTTTGGATATTTCAACTTTTCAACTTTATGATTTACCGACTCAATTTCTTAATTTTTCAGTTTTTTAAATCTTCAATTTTCTGGAATTGTTAGATTTTTTAATTTTTCAATTTTTGATGTTTCTAGATTTTCGATTTATCTCGATTTTTCGATTTCCCAATTTTTCGATTTTTCGGTGTTTCGAGATCTCGTTTACTCAATTTTTCAATTTTATAATTTTCGATTTTTGGGGTTTTGAATTTCCCGATTTTTCGATTTCTCAATTCGTTCAGTTTTGGGATTTTTCAGTTTTTGTATTTTTCAATTTTTCGACTTTTCTATTTAACGTTTTCCATATTGGTTTTGGAATTTTTCAATTTTTCGATTCTACAATTTTTCTACAGTTTAATTCTTTCTTCGTTTTTTAAATTTTAGATATTTCGATTTTAAATTTAACATTTTTTGATTTCACAACTTTTGGATTTTTCCGTTGTTCAATTTCTCGATTTTTCGATTTTTTAATTTTTCAGTTTTTTTCGTTTCCAGTTTTTGATTTTTGTCAATTTTTCGAGATTTCGATTTTTTGATTTTTCGCTTTTTCAATTTTTCGATTTTCCCATTTTTCTATTTCTGGACTTTTCGATGTTTCGATTTATCGACTTTCCTGTTTTATCAGTTTTCCGGTTTTTCAATTTTCTGAATTCTTCAATTTTTCAGCTTTGCAATTTTTCGGTTTTTAAATTTTCAATTTTTCAATGTCGCGATTTCATGATGTATTGAGACTTCGGTAATTTAATGTTTCGATTATTCAGTTTCCCAATTTTTTGATTTGTTAATTTTTAAAATTTTTTTCGGTTCTAATTTTTGGATTTTTCTATATTTCGACTTTTCAACTTTTCAATTTACCGATTTTTACACTTTTCGACATTTAGATTTTATGTTTTCTCGATTTTCTCTTTTCTCAATTTCCTAATTTTACGATATATCAGATTTACGATTATTCAATTTCTGATTTTTAGTTTTTCGATTATTTAATTTTTTGTTTTTTGAATTGTTTGATTTTTTAATTTTTCAATTTTCGACGTTTCTAGATTTTCGATTCACGACGGTGATTTCGGATTCCTAATTAAGACAAGATCATCCACAATTTGACACCAATTTCGAGTCGATTCAACCCATTTTTAGCAGTTTTTTGGAAAAATTTTGAAAATATTAGACTAATTTCTCACGTATATAGAAACAGATATCAAGACAGCGATTTTGAATTTCTGATTAGGAGAAGATTATCTACAATTTGACACAAATTTTCAGTCGATTTCACTCATTTTAAGCAGTTGTTTGGAAATATTTTGAAAACTTTAGATTCATTTTTAATGTTTATTTGAACAAATATCGTGACAGGGATTTCGGATTCCTAATTACGAGAAGATTAACCACAATTTGACAACAATTTTCAGTCGATTGAACCC